ATCGCGGCAAGACCGCGGAATCAAACATTTCTTTTCGTTCAGTTCGTTATCCAGCAGCGATGTTTTGATGTGATTGAAACATACCCATTCCTCCCATTTTCTTTCTTCTGTTGATCTTGCCGTTGATATTGTCATTGGAGTTGATGAAGTAGCCGTGGTATACTTGGTAGCCGAAGTTAGCGACGTTTTCTCTACTTTTTTGCCGTCAGACCCATGGGACAATGCTCGTTGCGCATCTGTTTTGGCTCCAGACCGATGGCGCTTGACTTCTGCAACTCCACAGTATTTTTGTTTGAAGTTCCGCCGGATCTTTTACCAAGACGTTGACATCATTTGCAGAGAGCAGTTGGGTTAGTCGTTCTCCGTCGATTGTTAATCTTACTGTCGCAGTGCATACGGCCAGTGAGAAATTCCAGGGATATCTCGGAAAACTTAGGAGAGATACTGCCCTCGACATACTTCTCTTTTGACATTAATTGAACACGGTCCCTCGAACAGCTTGAATGTCCATTGCGGTGTCAGTATTCATTTCCTCGATCAGGTTTCGACGTACACAAGGTTAATAGTAGGAGCAATACACATAGTCGTTCAAGGCTTTCACTATAGCGCATAGCTCGATAGTATCGTTCGCTTTTTTCACGCCGATGAATTCGTAGTGGGGTGGGGTGTAGGGGTACTGATATTCCTTTCACTTTTGTTGATTCACGACGTAGATCTGTTCTATGGTGGGGAAGAACCCTGTTTTAAAATTAGCTTGTTCTTTAGTAGCGAGCATTTCCAGGTCTTTCTGCATACGGTAGAGGATAATTCGGGTAAAGACCTTGTGGTCTGTGATGGGAGAGTCATTGGTCCATCGTTTTGAAGATCTTTAACATCACGTTTCTTGAATAGAAAAGTTGTCGCAGAGCTCTTACATGCTTCTGTCATCTTCTTCAGCCTGATGTACTCTGTAAATGCTTTGACAGAAGCTTTGAAAACCGGCCTGCAAAATAGCCGTTCAGAGGGACTGTTTTTACTAGCATACTGTTATGCAGTATTGCTTTTTCTTTTGGTAATATTAGTACTATTTCTTTTGCTACTATTATTTAATTCTGCTTACTCTTAGGACTGGCTTTACTATATACTTTGCAAACATGCGAATGTCGTCATATCGCAGGTAGTTTGTGGCACGACCTTAAGCCGGCCGATAATTGCTCTTTCTTATTGTTATTATTTCAATCACTGCTGTGCTGTTGGTTTTTCTATGGGTTTTTCCATGTTGGTATGAGATTCATTTAAGAGTTATTCGTTGGCTTGTAAGTTGCTTCGGAATCTGCAATGCTCTCGTAGGCTTGTTAACTATCCTGGGTGCTGTTTGATTATTATTTACTGTCCGGTGACTACTGGAAGTTCACTGCTCTGCTCTACAAGAGCCTTTGTCTGTCGCAGATCGGAACTTTTCTGTGTTTAGCGACATCGGAGAACTAGTCGTAACTGCCTTGAGCAGAGATTCAATATTTGTGACCCTGACGAACGGGGTTTTCGACGGACATGGCCTTGGTTTTTTTTCTAATTGAGATCGACAGAATAGTAGATGATCTATTATTTGACTCGCAACCGTGAATAATTGGGTCATTAGAAAAACATTTTTTA